AAGTTCTTTACTCCTTAAATTTAAAAATAATTATAAAAAATCGCAATATATATAATATATATATATATATTTATATATTTATATATTTATATATTTATATATTTATATATTTACTCTAAATAAGTCTGATTAAAATTCATATCCTACTTATAAAATTAGTTTTTAAATAACTTCCGTTATACTTTTATTTCTTAAATGATTTAATAAATTATCAAGTATTTATTATTAATTTTTTACTAAAATATAAAACTGAATTTTTATTTATTTAAATAATTTTATTATAAATTTTTAATGTTTTTTTTTACTTGTCCATTTGTTATTAATAAATTATTCATTGCTTTTTAAAAATAACCTGCTAAAGTATCATCTAAAATTTCATTTGTATTTATAAATTACAATAATTAATTTGTATATTATTATCCTGTTATTTTTATTTAATTATTTTATTTTTCTATATTTTCTTCTTCATTATTTTCTTCTTATTTAGTATCATTTTCATCTGATTAAGAATCATCCTATTATTTTTTTAAAATATAAAAACTATAAAAATATTGAACTTTTTAATCTTCTTCGCTTAATTTTGTATCAAAATATATTTCTTGTAGACCTTTTATTTATATTCCTAAAATTTCACTTGCTATAAAAGGATATTTATAAAGTTTTTTTTCATCATTTTCTTCAGGATTAGGCATTTTTATTGAATAATTTATTATTTATTATAAAAAATATTAATTTTTTCGTAAACTAAAAATAATAAAATTTATCCAAAAAAAAAATAAAAATTTGTTATTAAATTTTACAATTTTATAAATTTCTTTGTATTTTATCTTATTTCCGTAACTATATTTTCTACATCTAATAAGGATTCTACTGTTAAGTTTTCTTATTTTAGTATAGTGTCTAGATTAGATTAATTTGTAAAATAACCAAATGCATTCCAAAAAGAGCTGTATTAACTTTTATATTAGAATTAATTTTTAATATTAGAATTAATTTTTATTAAGTTACCCCAAAAACATTTTTTTATATTTTATATTTTATATTTTAAATTTTTTTTTTTTTTTTTTTTTTTTTGGCAATTATTATTTTAAAATTTTTTTTTCAATAATTAATTTAAAAATAAAAATAAATTACTAAAATTATATTTTTTTTATATATATATTTAATTGAATGATATTAAAGTTAAAAATTTAAATGTTTTTTTTTTTTTTTTTTAATAAAATAATATGATATGATATGAATAGTCTATTCCATTCCGAATTATTCTTTTAATAAATTATTTTTTATTATTATTTTTTACAAATTTACTTTTGTCTATATTATATTTAAAGCATTTTTCAACATTTAAATTAATAATATTTTTTTATAAGAATTAAGAAATATTAATAAATATTGAGGTTTAATATTTTAATAACTTATTTAACTTTATAATAAATTAATAATCATATATATTATTATTATATTTTTTATTAAACTTCTAAATTCTATAAGAAAAGAAAATTAATCAATTATAAATTTCCGAATATTATTATTATTTTGTTAAACTAGATATATATAAGTTTATCAATTTTTATTGGCTAAATTATCTTTTTTATAAACTATTGATTTTTTTATTATATATAAAATACAATATTATTTTATTAATTTTAATATAAATTATAATATTTTTTATTTATTTATATTTAAACTTTATTTTTAAATAAATTTTATAAAATTATATATATTAAATAAATATATAGTTTTTAAAAAAGCCGAATAATAATAAACAAAATGGAATAATAATCAAAAATAAATTAATTAAATATAAAACTTTTTAAACACAGTATCGTTAAATATGTAAAAAAATTAGATTATTAATATTTTTTAGTAAATAAAATATTTTTCTAAAATTTATATTTATTAATAATTTATAATTTTATATTATATTGTTTAAAATAGATTTAATCAATTAATATTTCACATACTAATTATATAATACATAAATATTAATTTTGTTTATTTATATTACTTTTTTATAACTTTTTATATATTAATAATTTAAAAATATTTGGTAAAAAGTATTTAATCAAATCATTTTATATTTATAAAATTTTCATAATATTTTTCTTAGCCTAAAAATATCTAAAATTCTTGATAAAAATTAAAACTACTCATTATTAAACATTAAACTAATAAAAATTAAAACTGTAATTTAAATAAATTATAAAAAAAAAAGTTAAAATAATAATTTTTTTAAATTAAATAAAAACTAGTTTAAACTTTTTAAAATAAAAAAAATCATAATATTTAGATTATATATTATTTTAGTGTAGATTTTAAAAGAAATTAAAAAATAGAAATATAAAATATCTTATATAAAAATTATTCATTATTTAATTTTTTTTACAATTATATATATATAAATTATTCTTATGTATATAAATTTTATTAATATTTAAATATAATTAAATTATTATTTTTATTTATAAATATTATATAATAATTTTATTTTTTTTAGTTTATTATATCTATATATTTTAATTTATTTTTAAAATTATAATAAACTTAAGGAAAATTGTTAATTAATACTTGAAATTTATTATTAAATATTACGAAAAAATGATATATAATACACATTCAAAAATAAAATAAATTAAATGACAATATCGATATATAATGAAAAAAAAAAAAAAAAAATATAATAATTATTTTTTATATAATAAATATTTATTAATATAGATTTAATATTAAAGAATTTTTAAATTATATAAAAATATTAATATAAATTTATATAAATTTATATTTTTAAATATTATAATTTATTTGTTGTATTTTTATTTTTTAAATATTTATTTTATTTTTTTGTGATGTAAATAAGTTTTAAGGCTATAAACAATTTTTTTTTAAAAAAAAAAATATTATTAATATTTATAAAATAAGTGTATTCTTAATATATTTTTTTATATATAATTTTATTTAAATATTCTAAAATATTAAATAAATTGCTTTTTACATCTCATTTGATATCTATTAAAATAATTTAAAAATTTATATGTATTAATGTAGTATAGTTCTTTAAAATTATTATCCCTAATAAGCTATGATGAATTAGCTTAATAAATATTAGATCTAAATATTTTTTACTATTAAAAAAGAAAAGATTAAAAAGAATTACAAGCTATTTTTGTCATAAAACAATAAAAAGATATTAAAAAATTCTATTATTTTTAAGTTTTATTTAGCTTTAAATTTACAAATACGTAAGAAAGTATTAGGAATTGTATTTAAATATTTAAAAAGGTTATTGTAATATAAAAAATGAAAAGAAAATAAAAAATTTAATTATTATTTATATTATTAATTCTTATATATTTTTAAAAAATAAATAAATTTTTATTAATATTTATATTTACAATAATCTAAAATTGAATGAATTTTTATATAAATTTATATATAATTATTTTATTAAATAATAAAAATTTTTTATTTATTTATTAAAATAATTTAAATAAATGAAAATATCTAATAAATTATATGAATATTATATAATATAAAAAAAATATTCATATAAATATATATATATATATATATATATATATATATATATATTTATATTATTATTATTATTTTCACAATTAAAATATCTGAATTAAACATTCAAATTATAACAATAATTATAAAATCTATATAAATTATAATATATTAAATTATATATTTAATTTATCAAAATTAATTTTCATATTATTTATGTATTTATATTAATTATTAGTTAAAATAAACTAAATAAAGTTTTCTATTATATTTATTTTATATATTTATTATATTTATTATATTTTAATTTTATTTTAAAATATAAAAATAATTTAATCATAAAAAATTTTAATTTATTATAAATATATTAAAATATAATAATTTTAATTAAATTAATTTTATTAATATATTTATATGTAAAAAAAAAATAATTTTAATTATTAGATTATATACATTTAATCTTATGTATTAATATTTTTTTAATATGTTAACTTTTTAAATGAATAAAATTGTTTAATAATAAATTATTAATTTTTAATTAATTAATTATAATGATTTTATATTTAATATTTATTTTAATAATATAAATTAAAAATAAATATTAAATAAAATATTAATAAGTATATTAAATAATACATATAAAATTAATTAAATAATTAATATATGTTAATATAATAAATTAATTTTATTTAGACATACATTTTTTAATTATTTTAAAAATATTATTTGAAATTATTTATATAACAAACATTTATATAATTAAAAAATGTCCATAAAGAAAAAAACATAATGAATATTGATTTAATTTAATTATAAAATTATTAAAATATTATAAATTAATTTAAATTTTTATTTATATTTTAATAATTTCAAAAAACTTATTTATAAATAAATTTACAAACCAATTATATATTTTATTTTTTTCATAATTTATATATAATAAATTTAATTAAAACGATAAATAATTAATTAAATAAAACTAAAAACTTAAGAAATTTTTATTTCAGATTAAAAAAAAAAAATAAGTCAAAGAAGAACTTTTTACATTTAAATATTATTATTATTATTGTCATCATATTTTACCAAATCCTCGTAATCCAATCTTAATTTAACAGTATCAAAAGGCATCTTAAAAGCCGCAAAAGCACTAATAAACGAGAAAAAGCTAAAAATCAAAAGCGGATAAACATAATTATAAGAATAAACTTACATAATAACAAAAGGCATGACAATAGCTGCCAACCTACCAGCCGCACTATGTAATCCAATAGCCGTACATCTCATTTTTGTATTATATATTTCATTAGTATACGTATATAACATTGAATGAATAATCCTATAACAAAACCTGGCAAAGCCCTGAAGTATCCCCACATTATTATCTTCTAAAAGTGCCAAATTAATAACTCCAGTTAATAAAAAGAAAAATATCAAAGTATTTTTCCTTCCAAAAAAAGGTTTATCAATTACATATATAGCTACTAAAAAAGATGGAATTTCTCCAGATACCATTAAAAACATATTCAAAAAACTTTTTTTTATTTAATTTAACTAACTAAAGGGAAATAAAACAACTACCCAATACTATTAAAATGTATAAAAAACCATTAAATAGCCAAACTGACAGTAATCAGAAAATATTCTGGATTAAATAACTCAGTTTATTTTTAATAAATATTCTTTTGTTTGATTTCTTAACCGAATTTTTATATTCTCCATTAGTCTAGTTATTTTTTTTCGTCTTCTGTTATTATCTCCCCTCCATCCCCTTTATTTATAATAATCATTTAATTCATTATTTCTACAGCTTCGTCAATTCTATTTTAAGAAACTAAATACCGAGGAGACTCTAAAACATTATTATATGTTCCATAAAATAATACAAATGCAGGAATACTACTCAAAGATAGCAAAAGTCGCCAATTACCATGCTACATATCCTATAGAACTAATATACACATTAAAATTCCCCAAAATTAACCTAAAGCAATACAAAAATTAATAATAATAGTTCCTTTTCCTCTATATTTTAAAGGAGAAATTTCCGTGAATAAAGTTGTGGAGAGCGGAAGTGTAATCCCATAAACAAAACCATATAAAAATCTTAAAATAAAAAGCTAATATAAATTATATGCAAATAAAAAAATAATAGCTGTAATTCCATAAATTAATGAAGAATATAAAATTACATTCCTCCTTCCATATTTATCGGATAATGTTCCAGTTAATAATGCTCCCATAAACATCCCAAAAAAATATAAAGAACCTAATAACTAAATTTCTTTATTTGATATTATTTCTTCTTAATACATAGTATTAAAATCTAATTTTATTATTGGTAATGTTATTGATATTAATAATAATTCAATTCCATCATTAAAATCTTGTAAACCCATTATACTCAAGACATATTTTTAGTATTTTCCGAAACCAATTTTTCTCTCGAGGATATTATCCATTACATCTATATCGGATACAATTTATATATTAGTCTTATTATTTATCATATTAAATTAATTTAATATTTTTTTATTTTTTTTTTAATTAAATTTTTTTTATTATTTATTTAATTAAAAAAAATTCTCATATTACATATATAATACAAATTTATACTTTATAAATTTTAATCAGTTTATTAATAAATTATCATCAAATATTTAAAAATTTTTAAGTTTTTCTAATAATTTCTATTGAATACATTAAATAAAAAATATAAGTTATATATTTTTTCAACTAAAAATAACTAAAATTTCAATACGTAATTTGTTTTTTATATATATAATAAATAATTTAATATTTTATTATATAAATTAATTATATATTATTATATTTATATAATTATAATATATATATATTTTATCTTTAAAAATAAATAATATTAACATTAAATTTAAATAAATAATTAATATTAAAAAACATTTAATTTTTTTATTATTTTATTTAAAAAATATAATCGAAATTAATTTATTTAGTATATTAGTAATTAAATATATAAATAATATATTATATTTAACGAAATATTTTTTATATAAATAAAAAAAAAATTTATAATGTTTTTAATTTATTTTACTATAAAAATAATACAAATAATATATCAATTTTAATAAAAAATTATTATTTATTACATATATATATTAAATTTAAATAAAAAACAAAAACTTATATTATTATAATATTTTATTAATTATTAAGTATTTTTAATTTTATAATATAATAATATCAAAAATATAATTTATAAATGATTATTTATAAAAATAAAAAAATAAATATTATAAAATTTAATAATTGAAATAAAATATTTTTATATAAAAAAACCTATATATAATATACAATAATAAATATATTTACATATATCTATATTTATATAATTATATATATATATATATATATATATATATATATATATATATATACAAATAATTAATAATATTATTTTTATTTTTTAATGTTTTATATTTTTATTTTATTTTAAATTAAAATTTTTTTAAAAATTTTTGTATAATTAAATTTAACACGTAATTAAATATATATTAAAAATCAAATTATTTTTATATTTTTAAAGATAATTTCAATTTAAAGTTATATTCATATATTAATTATTAAATAATTTTATATTTAAAATTTAATCTTTAAATTTTTATTTTTTAAAAATTTTAATAGTTAAATTTTATATTGAATTTATTTTTATAATATAATTATTATTTTTTATATTATTTTTCTTGTAAACTAATTAAATTTCTGTGCTATATGATTTTATATATTTTTTTTTTATTATTTTTATTTTTATAAATATAAATGTGTTTTTTTTAAAAAGCATATTAGTATTTTATATAATTTTAATAATATAATTAATTTCATTTAAATATCTTATTTTTTTATATAAAATAAAATTAATAGTTTCCTATGTTTTCAGATTGTAATATATTTGATTTAAAGAATGACTTTTATATATATAAAAGATTACTAATTTATTTGAAATTAATATTTAAAATAGTATCATTATGTTATTTAATTAATGTTTATAAGTAATATTTTTATCATTCATATTAGATTTATTATGTATATTTATTCTAAAAATCAATAATAATATCCCTGCTTTTTTTCTTAAACTGAAATTGTATTTTTTTATAAACTATTGCTATCGCATTTAAAATTTATTATAGATTAAATTAAAATTATAAATATAAAATATAAATGATATCTAGCCATTAAATATGATAATTATAATTCAAGTTTAGTATTTTAATATTAATTCTCCATTTAAATTGTTTACATACTATAGTTTCAAAATTTTTAATTTAAGATTCTAATGTAAATGTTTTTTTTAATTTTATTTAAAAGCATATAAATATGTAAATTAAGACTAATAGTATTTTTTATTATAGGCTATTTTTAAATATATATTTAAATTCTTTGAATGTTTATTTTATTGTCACAAAAATATTATATATATTATATAGATATTTACTTTTTTAGTATATTTGAAATATATATATTTGAATATTATTGAAAGTTAATACTTATAACACTTATTTATTTCAATGGACTTTTTATTAAATGTTTTTTTTTTTTTTTTTAAAGAAAATATCAATTTTTGATTTTGGTTTTTTCTAAAAATAATTTTAGTTTTTTTGAAATATTTAAGAATTATTTTTTTTATTTATAAGAAAAATAAATAAATATTATACTAAAAATTATTAACTCTATTAAATAATTATTATATTTTTATATTAAATATATATTTATCGTGTTTTTTAATAATTAATTATTGGATAAGTATTTTTTTTTTTGTTCAATATTTATGTTTTTTTTTTTTTTTTTTCTTAAATTAATTTTATATATATTTTTAGGTTATATTTGTTAGAATAATAAATAGTTAGATATTTTCACAAAATAAATTATTTTTTTATATAGTTAAATAAATATTTATATCGATTAGTAATATTATTATATAGATAACTTTGATCTAATTTTATTACAAATTGAAATTTTATTATTTCGAGCTTTTATTTACTAATAATCATAAAATAAAATGATAAATCTTTAATATATATATAAAATAAATTATTATATTATAATATTTTTTATAATAAACAATATAATATTATAATATAATCCAATTCAAATAAAAATTAAAATTAAAATTTTTAATTTAATAAAAAAAACAAAAATTTAAATAAATAGAAAAAAAAATTTGTTATTTTAATAAAAAAAAACGCTTTTAATATAAAAAAGAAAAAAGTAGCAAATATAAAAAATAATGTACTCATCATCATATTTTTCTTAGCAAAATCTATCATAATTATAACCAAAACTAATATAATCATAATTTATAGAATAAGAAAATTAACATAAAATGTTCTAAAGCGAAAATATAATACTTTAAAGTTTTCCCAGTAGTCAAGAAGTAGTCAAACGTTCAGGAAATAATTATAATTCTTAAGTATTTAAAAATAAACAATCCTAAATTGTAAATTAAGTATATTCTCAATAATTAATATCTTTAAGTTAAAAAATAGAAAATAATGAAGAAGAAGAAGATTAAAAAGTAAAAAATAATCATTTTAATAAAATAAAGTTATAAATTCTGAAATCGAAAATGCTAAATTTGTTGCCAGAAGAATTTTTGAAAATTACGATAAAGGAAAAAAAGGGTATTTAGAATTATAGGACTTAGATCCTATGGTTAAGGATGCTTATTAATCTTTTCATATAGATTATTATGGATAAAATAACCATATAGAAACTTATAAATCGGTTTTAGATACTAATAATGACGGAAGAGTAACATATTAGGATATTGAAAATCTTTGTCTTAAATATTTATGTGGAATAGAACATGATTAAGAAGAAAAAGTAAAAAAAATGCTAAAAATAAATACACTTAAGAAGTTTAATAAAAATTAGATGTGGTAAATAATAATTTTTACATCTTTTTTTGTTTTTTGTTTTAAAAAAAATAAAAATAAAATAAAGGCAAGAAGATTATTTAATAAATATGATATTGATAAAGGTGGTTTTTTAGAATAAAATGAAATTATTTTATTAATTAAAGATACTTATAATGAAATGAAACTTACAAATTATTAACCTACTTAAGAAGATTTAAGAGTTTGGCTTTTAATGGCCGATTCAAATACTGATGGTAGAATTTCATTAGAAGAATATGAAAATATAGTCATTAAATCATTAAGGAATGCTGGAATTAAAATTGAATAATAAAAAATGGTTTTTTGAGAAAATAAAATAAAATATTTTTTTTAATTTTTTTTTTTTTTTTTTAAAAAAGTAAAATTATATTTTTATTAATTTTTTAATTTATAATTTTTTTATTTTTTAAGTTAATTTTTTTTTAAATTTAATATAATATAATTTTATATAATTATTTGTCTAAAACATAATTATTTAATTTTGTCAAAAGAAATATATATTTAATATATATTAATTTATATTCTTATATATATATAATTAATTTTATATTTTTTATTAATAAATTAGAAAATTATTTATATTATAATTATTATAAAATAAATATTATATATTGTATTTAGTAATTTTAATTTAAAAAACATTATTAAATATTAATTTTTTTAAATATTTAATTCATCTTTAAATTATATTAAATATTTAAACCTTTAAAAGTCACTTTTTTTTATCAATTTTTTTATAAAAATTATCTATTATATATTAAAAAATTATATAAATTCAATATTTTTATATAAAATTTATATGCAAGAAGAAAACTAAATAAAATGATATAATCAATATAGTATTTGTATATAATAATAAAAAACTATATATAGATAAATTTATATATATTTTATATTTTTTATTGATAAAATATTTTTTTAAACTTTAAACTTTTTTTTATTTTATAAATAAAAATTTATTAAAGTGCAAAAATTTTATGTATTTCATTTTTCAAAAATTTTAAAATTAAATAATAATTTTCTTAACATTTTTTTAATTTCTTAATTTAATAAATTTAAACTAAAACATATATTTTTTTACTTTTTATAAAATTAATATTAATAAATTATTAATTATGTTTATAATATTATGAAAAAAAAAAAAAATTCTTTGATATTTTTAATTTTTACATCTTATTTCTTATCATAAACTTTTAAATAAATATATTCTATAAGCATTATTTATATTTTAATTAGAATTAATTTATGAATTTTGTATATCAATTATTATTTAAAGACTTTGATTTTTAAAATCAAAGAATACTTTTACCATTTTCACTAAATAAAATACAATCTGAACTAAAAATTAAAAAACAAAAAAAATATGGAAATATTTATTTACAAAATTTAATATAAAATTTTTTATAATTTAAGTTTTTTTTGCTTTAAAATTAAAAATTTCTAAATAAAACAAATATTACAATTTAATATTAAATAATTTTCGCATAATTTTTTCTTAAAAAATAAATTAAATAAATATTTAAAGATATAATAAAATATATAATTTATATATTAATAAATAATTAGTATCTAAAAATAAATAATATATATACATATTTTAATATACATACAATATATATTTATCATGATGTATATTTTCATATATTTATTAAGTTAAATTAATTATTCATTTTATTATAGTATTAACAAGATTTTAACATACAAATTTTCAAGAAAAAAAAATAAATAAATTATTTATAACTAAAATTCAAAAAATATAGAAATTATTAAACATTTATATAATAATAAAAAATTAATTTTACAAATAAAATATTAAATATAAATAAAAAATTTATCAATAATATTGAAGAATGAATATTACTTAGATTAAATTTTAAATTAGACAATCAAAATTTGCATTTAAAATTAATAAACTAAATTTATATTTAAAAAAAAAAAATTATTAATGATATTAGACATTTAATATAAGAATTATTTAAAATAAAAAAAAAATAAAGTATATATATAAATATATATATAAATATATATATATATATATTTATATATATATACATATATTATTCTATTTTTAATTGAATAAAAATAACCTTTTATTTTAAATAGTCTATAATAATAATAATATATTTTAAAAAATGAATTATATATCAGATGATATATAGAAAGTACTAACAGAAATTATCGGTAATAAATAATCAATAATAATATCAACATTAGCCTGTATATATACTGCGAGCTCTGAATAATAATGGTTAAATTCGAATTTGTAAGGAATATTATGTTTAATATGGGACCGTGAAATGCAAGGTACTCCATTTTTGAAATTATTCGATATTGAAACATTCGAATTATTATTTGATTGTGAATTATATATAGATTTTCATAAATATTGGTCACCAGAGACTCCTGTATTTTATTATTTTGAGTACTATAGTGGATTTATTGGCATATTATTCGCTAGTTAAGATGAAGGATTATAATTTAGTTAAAAATTGATAACCTATAGTATATAGAATGATTATTAAAAAAATAAAAGAAATAGAAAGGTATAAGAGTAAAATTAAAAAAGATTTTTAGTAATATAATTAATAATGATGAAAAAAATTCCGAAATTTCTCGTCCGAAAAATTTAAACCATGAATCTTCATTTGTTTTTGATATGGAAAAGAAAGAATTTATATATTCATAAATGTCACCAGAAATTTAAAGGATTTTCGAAAAAGCAGGAATAACTGCAAAAGATTTGGATAATAAGGAAATTTCTAATATTATTTTTTAAAGTGTAATAAGTTTCTAAGAAAATCTTATTCAATTCGAAAAAAAAAAATCAGTTAATTAAACTTCTATTTTAAATATTCCTAAAGCACCTACTTTAAATATACCCAATGCGCCAGTTTTAAGTAATAAGATAGTGGAAGAAAAATTAGATAAAAATAAAAAATAAGACAATAGGGAGGAAATGTTTAATTAAATTAAAAATGGATAATTTAATTTAAAAAAAACTAATGTTTCTAATAATAAATAAACTAAATTTGATATTCCAAAAATGAATTAATAATAAGAAGAAAACTTATCTAATTATTTGTCGAAAATGATTTAGGAAAGAAGATAATTATTAAGAAGAGATTATAATAATAAAGATAGTGAAAGTAGTGATAATAATAGTGATGATATTTGATTAAATGTTTAAAATTAATTTAATAATAATTTATTTTAAGGTTAATATTATATATAAATATATTTTTATTTTTATAAAAATTAATTTTTTTTAAAAAAAAAAAATTAAAATTATCATTTTTATTGATTATATATTAAATAAATAGATTAAGTTTTTAATAATAAATAAATATATATTAAGGTATATATATATATATACATATATATATATATAAATATTTATATTTTTATATATTTATATTTTTTTTTTTAAATATATTATTTTTATTATTTTAATTTCTATTTTTTTTTTTTTATAGAACAAAAATATATTAAATATATTAAGGTTAAAAATGAAATGACTTATATTTTTAATTTTTATATTATTAAAAAATTTTATTAAATTAAATATTATTTTTTATTTATAAATACATTATCTTATAATACATAAAATTTAAAAATGGCTGACAAAATAAGAATTAATTTAGAATCTATGTTACCCGAAATGCTTAATTTTGTAAAAAGGAATATCTTTACAAAGGAATAAATTGGATAAATAATGAAAGATAGGGAAAACAATGAATATTAATTAGAAAGAAGAAATATATAAATAAAAGATTTCCTTAAAGTAATAGAATATGAATATGATTTAGAAAGAATTAGAAAAAAAAATTCATATAATTAAAAATAAAAAAATAATAACCTAAAGATTTTTCAAGTAATAATAAAAATAAAACTAAATATATATATTTAAATAAATATATATATTATATATATACATAATATTTTTATAGTTGTCAAAAGAATAATTTAATTATGGGACAAAACTACTTATAAATATAAATATAGAATTGATTTGTGGAAATAATATTTGTCTTTTTGTTATTTTATTTAATCTAAAAAAGCTTATTTTAAAGCAGTTTCTACTGCATTAAGGTATAATCCTTTTTCTCTTGATTTATGGTTATTAGCAGTATATTATGAAAGTGAAATAAATGGAAATCCATTTAAAGGAAGAAAAATTTTTTATAAAGCATTAAAAATAAATAATAAAAACATTATGTTTTGGTTAGAATATTTCTAATATGAAATAACTTTTATAAAAAAAGTAATTAGTAGATAAATAATTTTAAAAGAAAAACATAAAACTCCTAAAGATTCTAAAATAATTGAAGAATCAGATTTTATAGGATTTGATGAAGAAATAGAAGAAAAAAAATTAATGTAAGAATTAGAAAATATGAATCCAGAAGATATGGAATAAAGTAATAAATATACATTTATAAATATATACAATTATATATATAAATATAAATACATATAAATTTAAATAATATATATATATATATATATATATACATTTATATATTTTTATAATTATATTTTTAAGATTTATAATTATTAACTACTCTATATGAAATCGCTTGTGAGAATTTTTAAATTTGTGAATTTGCGTTTTAACTTTCAGATATTTTATATTAAATTGATTCTGATTATTTAATTGGATTAAAAAAAAGAATAAAATAAGATATTTTTAATTTTATTTAAAATGAAAATAATAATCATAATAAAATTAATTATATTGGTCAATATATTTTATTAGAAAACAATTTTAATGCTAAATAATCTTTTGCATAAGTTTCCAATTTCGAAATACTTTTATAAAATGTTAAAAATTAAAAACATTTTAATTAATAATAATTAAGTTTATTTTTGTTAAATTATCTATTATAATAAGAAAATTTAATATCTAAAGAAGTAAAACAATAAATAAAGAATTCTTAATTAATAAACGAATATTTTTTTTAAGAATCTTTATTGGAAAGTTATGAATATGTTTAAATTTTGATTAAATATATTAAATTATTTAATATAGATTGTACTAAATAAGTATTATAATAAATAAGTAATTAACTTTATAGTTTCGAATAGAATTAAAAAGATATTTAAAATGAAATTTAATTATTTAATTAAAGAATTGATATAATTGTTTTGTTATAAAATTAAGAAAAAGCTATAGAATTAATAACTGAAAAATTAAATAAATAAAAAAACTTAAATGCAGAAGCTAAATTTACTTTATTAGAAAAATATTTAAATATTTAAATAAAAAATAACTTTGATGAATAAAAATAAAATAAATTTTTTAATTTAATAAACTAATTTCTACTTTTAAATAAAAATGTCTTAGAAAAAATTCTCACTTAGTTTTTTGAGTTTTTAAAAGAAAATTCAAGCTAAAAATAATAATTGTATTTTATTGAAAAGTCTATTAAATTAAAGTAATAATGTCCTTTAAATATACATATTTTATATATAAAGGAATTATAAAAAGTAATAATAATATATATATATATATATATATATATTTTTATGTCTTTATTTAAAAACATAAACAATAAAATAGTTAAATAAATAATAAGAAATTAAAAAAAATTGGATTTTATTAGCTTAATGGTATTCTGAAGATATTGATATGTGGAAATAATATTTTTAATGGTAAAAATAATACGGAGATATTAAAGAAAGTGCTTTTATTTTTGAAAAGTAAAAAATAGATTTATTTTATTAAAAAAAAAAAAAAAAAAAAAAAAAATAGATCAAAATATATGAGTAAAATTGATTTAAATACTTTATTAAATGTATATAATTAAATATTTTAAGATTAATGATAAAAAAATAAAAAAATTACTAATTAAATAAATATTTGATTTGTATTAATAGTTTATAACTATGTTTATTTAAAAAAAATAACATTAAATAATTTAAAATAAAAAAAAAACATTATATGAAGTAGTTTTTTAAAATTTGTATTTTAATAAAAAATAAAAAAAATATAAAAATTTTATAAAAAAAATACAGATAAAAAAATAAAAAAAGAAAAATTATAAATAAATATATTAATATTTATAAATATATATATATTAATATATATTTTTTATATTTAAATTTTATATAAATATATCATCTTGGAAGTCCTTCTATAGAATCTCTTATATAAGATGATATTTAATTAATGCTTACTTCTTAATTTTTATTAGAAATATTTTCTATCTCATTAAAAATAATATCAAGATCTTTTTTATTTAGACTTTTTTAAATATATTTTATTGTTGAAATGAACTCGCTTACGCTTATATAATTTTAAGAAGAGAAAATATTTTATAAAATGATTTTTGAATAATAATATGAATCTAATTTAACCTCTTCACTAAAAATCTAACATGCATTAAGTAAATTTTCATAATTAATAAAATTTTATAAATTTTTTATTTTTTCCTAATCATTTTTATTTTCGATTTCATTTTCATCATCCTTTTTCTTATTTTCTTTTTTTTTTATAAAAATAATAATAATAATAATTATTTACTCTAAATTATATTATTATTTTAAACATTTATTTAATTTTCCTCTTCATTTTTTATATGACTTTTCATATTTTTATCTAATAATTCCGTACAAGCATATTCTAAATAATAAAGTTCATCATCTTCAATTTCATTATATCCTAATTTATGTGCCAAACATATAATATCTGATTATTATTTAATGAAAATTTCCTTTAATTAAGAAACTATAAATTCTCTATATTTAATAATACTATTTTTTTCTAAAAGAAATTAATTCTAGCAAAATGCTTTAAAAACCGGTAAAATTTACTGAAAGAAATCGTAATTTAATTTTTTAATTTGAAATGATTTTTTCGATAATTTCGACATTTTTTAACTATTAAATATTGGAATTTATCGCATATTTTTTTAGAAAAAAGGGTAAAATAATAAAACATTAAAAAAATATCAAAAAAACTTCCAAAGAGAAAAAAATCTAACAAAAAATATTATTTTTAATCTAAATTCTAAAAATAAACACAAAAACAATAATCCAAATAAATTAATTTAAAATCAATAAATGAATTAATCTTATTGTAAATTAAACTGCGTTAAAAATAAACATATTTTCTTGTCTACTTATATATTTTTTTTAGTATTTATGTATATTTAATAAATATTCAGGATACATTACTTTTTTACAAAAATCAAGCTTTTTTTTCCCAAAAAATGCAAATCCTCTAATTCTTATGTACTGTTTAAGTTCAATATCAAATTCTCGATTATTCTTAATTACTATATATTTAATATTAAGCTTAAAATAAAATTTCCTAAACTAATCAAAAAGAATAAAATCATTTTTATATACCATATATTGATTAAATTTATTAAATAAAATACCAATAGGAAAACTAATACACCTAAAAAACTCCCTTAATTTATACTAAATAACTGTATAAGACATTTAGCCTGACATCTACCTATATATTCTTCAAAATTAAAATCATTTCGTAACATAATAGGCTCTAGATAAGGCAAATGGGACACTGGGATTATAAAATCTTCCTTTATGGTAAAATATTAGACGGTTTTTAGGAGAAAAGAGTGCTCTTTTTCATCTTAGAAATTCCCTTTTTTTAATTAGTTTAAAATTTCGTATCTTTTGCTCCAGTTTAATTCATATTTTTTATATTCATTAGTAAATTATTACAAAAATAAAGCTATAAAAATGACATAAAAAATCCAAAAAAATACAAATATATCAAAAGTAATTGTAAAAGCGAAAACGTTAAAAAATTAGATTAAATAATATCTAAATACTTATTATAAAATAATATCTAGACTAAAATATTTAATGTAATTAAAATTATAACATCTACAATAATAATCTTTATAGCCTTTATATAATATTTCTCTAAAAAATAATGCATTTATCACTTATTTTAGATAAAAATAATAATAAAAATATAACAAAAATCAAAAATAAAGCATAATATAAAGCCACTAAGTATTTATTTTATTTAATTATTGGTTTGTCATTTATTTATTCGATTCTTATATTATTTTTATCTTCGTCATTTTAACAGTTCATTATTTCTAAATTAAAATCTTCTTTTTATGAATTACAATTTTATAAATTTATATCATCATTAAATGGAATTACACTAATTATGTCTTATACAGAATTCTCATTTTTTTAATTTTCTAAAATTATATCATCAGTTTCTTAATAGTAAGGATAATTATTAATATATTCTTAACTATTATTATTATTATTATTATTATTATTATTATTATTATTATTTTTATTTTATTATTTTTATTAATTTTTTATTATTTCTTTTATTTATTATTTTTTTTATAATTATTAATCTGAAGAATCTTCTATATTTACTTAATTTTTTTTTTTCTTGTTATTTATCTACTCAAACGGATTATCTAAGTCTATATTTTTTAAATTTGTGTTCAATATATTTATATTTTCTAATAAACTGTTCATTTGTGTTTATTATAATATATGAATTTTTTTTTTTTTGATTTAATTAATTTTTTATAATTGAATGTTTTCATAATTTTGATTTTTGATTTTTTGCCTTTATTCTTATATTAGTTATTAGAAATCTTTTTTTATTTATATGTTTAATATATATGATTAAAAAATTATTATCAATGTTAATATTTTAAGCATTTTATATTTTTTTATTATATGTATATTTTTTTATTGATAATAAATAATTTTGATGTTTTTTGTTTATAGATAACGATATATTTTAATAAAACTAGCCGTTTTCTTTTGTTAAGAATTAATAATTTTTATTATAAAAATTATATTATATATATTTATAAATAATAAATAAAAAAAGAAAAATATAATTAAATTTTTAACTTTCTTTTAATAAAAAGAATTATTAAAATTAAATAAAAAGATATATAAAAAAATTTATTAATAACAATTTTTTTATTTTATTTTTTCTATAATTTCCAAAAAAAATAAAATATAAAAATTATATATTAATAAATAATAATTCATTTAATAATAATCACATAATCCTATCTGATTCCGCAAAATTTGCGTTAATTTATCTTAAAGCCTTCTATTTATCACTATAATTAGATGCCGAATGCATACTTCTAATACTATATAAACTCTTAGCTTTTTCCTCATAATACTATTTCCAATTAACATTAAAATCAACTTACTAAGTAAGCCAAATTCCACATAAAATAATACCTAAATATATACAAAAAATAAATTCCCATCCGAATTCAATTCTAAAATATTTCACAATAAAAAATTAAAACCAACATGCAATCATTTACCCTTAAATTGTAATTCCGTAAAAACTTGATCCGATTTATTTTCCGTATATTTAAGCCAATAAAGCCGGCATTTTGGCACTCCAGCCTCCAAAACAGCCCATTATTCCTAATATACAGATTATAAAAACTATCTCTGAACTACAAAAGAAGATCAAAAAAAACATAAAAATAAACTCCAGAATTAAGTTGAAAATCGCAAGCTTTTTAAAACCATATACATCCAAAAATTTCCCCCAAACAATCCTCACAAATCCATTAAAAAGACTAGCTATACTACCAACCAAAGTTAAATAAATATCCGAAAAACCACCCATTTATTAACCTATGGGTTTAAAATTATCAATTGTTAATTAACCCTAGGCTGCATAAAAAACCATTAAACCCAATGTATAATAAATAAGTTTTGGTTTTAAACCCATTTTTATATCTTTACATTCTTCGACAACTAAGGATTCCATTTAATCATTTTCGTCTAAAAGTTCGTCAATTTCACCCTCGTTTTCTTCAGGAATTTCAATCAAAAAACATCCAATAGAGCCTATTATTAACAAAATAAGAGACAAAAATCGCATCAAAAAAGGTACATTAGAAGCTACTTCTTCTTAAAAATAACTCTCTTTGGTTTCATTATTGTATATAGGTTATTAATTATCTGGATTTACAATAAAATAGACTATCCAGCTAAAAATAAATGTCGAAAGGCCAAATCCGGCACTTATACTGCCACTTGCAAGTCCCTTATTTTTAGGAAAATGTGAATAAGCAATATAGTAAGGGATCATATAAATAGTACCAGCAAATACACCGGACAAAATTCCATAGGAAATTATAAAATTAATATAATTTTATTAAAAAGAAGATAAAAAAGCAGAAAAACTAAATAAAAATGTACAAATCCATAATGTTTTTTTGATACCAAATTTAAAACTTATGGATAAACCAAAAGGGGTAAATATAGTTAATGTTAAACCCATAAAAGGAAAATTAGAATTCAAAGTGTCGATTGTTAGGTCAGGATTGTATTAACGTAAGTAACTTGTTATATAAGTATTTATGTTGCCCCATAAGTAAAAAGTCCCAATCATTATATGGATTAAAAATCCACCGAAAACAGAATTATAAGCAGCTTTTTTAGATTAATATGAAGGTAATTTTGACATTTTTTATTATTTTTATTTATTTTTTTTTAAGAAATTTTTGTTTTTGTTTTGAATTTTTTATGTAATGTTAACTTATTTATTTTATTTTTAAATATTTATTTTAATAAAAATAAATTTGATTCTTAATTTTTATATTTAATTTAATAAATTTATATTTATTGGATTTTTTTTTTTTTCCTTAATTATATTAAAAGAAATAAATTTTATTTATAAAAAAATAAAATATAAAAAATCATAGTTTGAAAATTTAAATATTTAAATAATATGATAAAATAAATATGAGTATAAAATAAATAAATATTTTCTTTAAATAAAATAAAACAATAAATATTTTTATTATTTAAATTTATAACAAAAATATATATAATTACTTGTATTAATTTATTTTATTAATTAAAAAAATAAAGTTAATATATTTGATTATCAAATATTAATCACTCGAAATATAAATAAAGTTAAGTTTTAAAATATAGTTTATAGAAAAAGTTTATATGATAATAATTTATTTATTAATAATTGAATTTTGTTTTGTTTTTTGTTATAGAGAAAAAAAAGTATTAAAGCATATACTAAATAAAAAATAAATATTTTAAGTATTTTTATTTTAAATAGAATATATTTTATTTAATCCAAAATTTATAAAAATTTATAAAATAAAAGATTAATATTTTTGCTATTTTCAAAATATATATTTTTATGAAAGTAGACAATAAAATTATATTATAAAATATTTTTAATAAATATTAATGTTCGCTTTTAAATAAATTATAAAATAATTTTATAAATTATATTAAGTTTTAAAAATTAAATATATAAAATAAAATTAAAGTAAAATATATAAATATTTTTATATTTATTTTATATATTTTATTTTATATTTAATAAATTTATAATTTTTTTATATAATATAAAAATAACATATTAAATTTAAAATCATAAGTTAAGGGTATTGAAAATAACTCTTAGTAATTTATTAATATAATTAAAAAATAATCAGTTAAAATAATAAAATACTTAGAAAAAATAATAAATAAAAAAATTTTAAAAATACTTTAATACTAGTTTTTTATTTTTATATATATTTTTTTTAAAAAAACTAATATTATGAAAAAATAAGCCTTTAAAATTAAATAAAAATAAAAAAAAACTAATAAATAAAAAATAATAAAAATAAGTAAGTAAAATTAAAATAAATATATATATATATATATATATATATATATATATATATAAATATATATATATAATAAAATGTAAACATATTCTGCCTAAAATATAAATAATTTTCGTAAATAAATTTCAAATTTATTTACCCAAAAAAAAAAAATTGTATAACTTCCTAGTTAAAACTTAAGTGCATTTTCAAATCTAAAAAATTAAAAAAAAGACTATTTAATTTAAAAAATTAAACATAAAATGGATGAAATATTAGAATCATTTTATGTATTAATATTAGTTACTACATTTACTATATATGCCTTATTTGGTGATGACATTCGAGTTTTTATAACTGATAAAGAAAAAGATGAAATTTTTTGGATACTATATATAATATCCATTATAATTTTTAGTACTGAAATAATATTAGCATCAATCTGTTAAAAAAATTATTTTAATAGTTTTTTCTTTTATTTAGATACTGTAGCTACAATTTCTCTTTTATTAGATATTGGATGGGTAGTCGAGTATTTCTTCGATAATCATAGTGCTACTTCAACATCATCTTCTAGCTAACTTTCTAAAGCTGGAAAAGCATCAAGGGTAGGTACTAAAGCGGGAAGGATAGTTAGAATAGTCCGTTTAGTTCGGTTAGTTAAATTATATAAACACGCATAATAGGCATTATAAATTTAAAGCTAGAATTTAAAAAAACTGGAGGAAGAATAATAGAATATTGGAAAGAATTAATAAATAATTAAACTTTAAAAACCTAAAACATAATTTTAAGCGAAGGTGCATAAATTAATATTAAAAAATAGGATTTAAAAACTTATAAAATAGAAAAAATAAATGGAAAAAATCGATACTAATTTTAGATATATATATTTCCAAAATTCCTATGTATGTAAATAAAAAAATATGAATTATATTTCACTTAAACTGCAGTCATTAAATACGGAAGAAATTCATAATAAATAAACTATTTAATATAAAGAAAATGATAATAATGAAAGAAATGATTATAGTGAAATAAATGAAAATAATAAAAGCGAAAAGAATAATTATAATGAAAATAAAAATGAGAATAGTGAAAAGAATAAAATTAATTCAAATAAGTTTTAAAAAAATGAAAACAATAATAATGAAATAAAAAATATTGATAATAATGAATTTAATATAAATAATAAAATATAAGAATAACATGGAAATAGAAAAGTCCAAATAAATAAATAAGATTCTAAAGATTTATTTAATTATAAAAATAATTAAGTAACTGATGATTTAAGAAGCAATAATTTACAATATGACAATTAAGATGAAACATAAAAATAAATTACTGAAAAACTTACAGTCTCTGCATAATCAAAAATAGGGATCAAACTTTAAGAATTGACTTACAAAAGAGTTATTTTATTAGTACTTTCAATAATTATGACTGTTCCCATTTTTTCAATTGAAACATATAAAGAAGAAATTACTAGCTACGATAATTCATTAGCTTGTATTTATGATTTTTATTAAAAAAGTTAAATAGATAAAACTAAAATTTTATTCGATAAATATATTTCATTTCACTAAAGTACTCGTTATCCAATAATTTTTTTAGAAATTTAAGTAAATATAAATATAAAAAATAACAAGACTAAAATATATTTAAAATAATAAAGGGAATATAAGATTAATGTTGTAAAAAATATCCTATAAATTCTAATGAAGCTGAAACTGATTAAGAACTTGAGAAATTCCGTCACGAAGACATTTACTACTATACATTTTACGACAATTAAGGTATTCTAGCCGGTTTTATAATAATTGATAAAACAATTGACAGTGAGCTAAATGCTATTTTAGGAATTGTTAGGACTATTTTTGTATCTTTAATTTTAGGTTATGCAGCTAATTCTTTTTCAGTTGATGTAGAAAAATACGTATTATAACCGATTTCTAATATTATGAAAAAATTATACCGAATTTCCCAAAATCCCCTATAGGCGATAGAAATAGAAGAAACAGAAACTTTAATATTGGAACAATTAAAGAATAAAAAAGATAAAAGCGATTATAAAAAAAGCCAGGAAATTTAAAAATTTGAAACAGCAATTTTAGAAAATCTAATAATAAAAATAGGAAAATTACTTGTAATGAGTTTTGGTGAAACTGGCTCTAATATAATATCAAAAAATATATCAAAAACAGGTGATATTAATCTTTTTTTTCCCGGAAAAAAATTCATTGGAGTATTCGTTTAATGCTAAATCTATAATTTCGAAAAAATAATCAATATTTTACAATAAGATGTCCTTTTTTTTATAAATAATATAGCCTAAATTGTACATACAGTCACTGATTCTTTATCCGGGGAATCTAATTAAAATTTAGGGAATTCTTTTCTTTTAGTATGGAAAATCTCCTCTAAAAATTAATTAAATTAAAGCCTTTATGAACTTCCAATTTATTCTGTAATCAAGACTTTGATGGCTATTAAAGATTCCAAGAAAATAAGGTAGCATTATAATAAGTTTAAACTCTAAATTTATTACGGGTTACATGTTGGATGGGCTATTTAATGTACTATAGGCTCTAATTATAAAATAGATGCACTTTATTTAGGAAAAACAGTCAATATTTCTAAAAATTTGGCTTAATATAATTCTTAATATGGGACTTAGATATTACTTAGTGCAAATATGTATACACATCTTTCAAAAGAATGCCAAAAAATGATGAGGATAGTGGACAGAATATATTTAAATAAATATAAAGTGAATATATATACCATAGATTTGTACTTATATAATTACTATGGATTTGATAAATTCGATAAATCACATTTAAGTTCTAGTTTAATAAAAAAAAGTAAGGTTTTGCACAAAATACAACGGAAACAATTCAAAGAAAATATTTAATAAAGGAAAGTTTCATCTTTAGATATCTTTCTAAAAGATAAAAATATATAAAAAATAAGACTTTTATTTATATAAAATCCTTATTTTTATTCTTTATGGAATTAGGCTATTTAATTATATTTTTAAGGAAAATGGATTGAGGCGAAGTATTTTTTCCTTTAAACTATAAATTTTTTCTAAGAATTTAATTATATAGATTACCCTTCACTGTATTTATATTAATATATTTCAGATTTTAATTTTCAACCACCTCCTAAATGGGAAGGAGCTAGAAAATTATGAAAAAAATAAAATAAAAAAATATGTAATATAGAATTTTTATTATTTATTAGAAAAAAAAATATAAATATATATATATATATATCAATAATTTATTTTATATTAATATATTTACTTTAAACTATATTCATTAATTATGTAATAATTATAAATTATAACAATAACTAGAAAAAATTATTTTTTTATATATAATATATTTTTCATATTTTTTATATTAATTTAGTTAATTATTAAAAATTAACAGGTTTTTCTAAATAATAACAAAAACCAGCTTTTAAACATTATTATTTAGTACATTCATCGCTTTCACCTGAACAGGCTACGAAACTAGGTTTGTTTTAACAATTTTGAACAATCTTTTAAGCACTTTCTAAAGTTTAAAACCCATCATAATCAGGCATATTAAGATCAATTAAAACAAACTAATATATTTATTATTTTAAAATTACTTTATCAACCAATTTCATAATGCATTCTTATCCGTTAAAAACTTAATCTACAAGTATACCAAATTTACATTTAAAAAGTAAAGCAAGAGAATTTACTGACCCATAATCGTCATCAGCAATTAATATATGTATACTATTTTCTTAATTCATAAGAATTTTATCAGATAAAGCGTTATAATTATTTAGATAATTAATAGCATTATTATTATTATTATTATTATTATTATTATTATTATTATTATTATTATTATTATAATTAAAGAATGAAGCTTCATCAAATGAAGTTATAGGTATATTGGCATTCTCTATTTATTATTATTTTTCTATAACATACTATGTTTATTTTTTTAAAAAATATTTTTTTTATGTCAATTTAGAAAATTCTATTTATTTAAAATGTTTTTAGTCTTCACTAAAAATTATTTAGTTTTACAAAAAAAAAAAAAATTCGCTTCCTTTTCCTTCTTCTGAAACTACTTATATTCCTTTATTAATTCCAGAAAGACTAGCTGCAAGCATATTACTAATTACAAGACCTAATCCAATACCTTTCGGGTTTAATTATTCTGTTTATATATTTTCTATTTTAGAAAATTCTTAAAAAAGTCTTTTTTAATCTTTTTCATTTATTCCTATTCCAGTGTCTTTTACAGATATTTTTATTAGATTTTTTGAGTATAGTTTCATTTCTAAAATAATAAATCCTTTTTAAGTAAATTTGATTGAATTTCCTATCAAATTAATCAGAATTTATTTAACCCTGAAATAATCAGAATAAATTAATTTCGGAATTTGTAAATCAATCTCAAATTTTAGCTAAACCATATTCTAAAACTTTGCTTAGATTTAAATTTCCATTGCTTAAATTATATCCTATATTAAATCTTTGACTAAAAACTTCTATATATTAATTTTAAATTTCCCCGAATTCATTTATGCCAAATCTAATAAATCCTATACTAAAATATTCAACATTTAAGCACTATTTAAAGCCGGTTGAATAAACTACTCAAGTATTTTCTAATTGACCAATTCTTTTGCCAAATAAAGATAATTTATAGTACTATTTAGTGGAGATCTAATATCATGTACTACATAATTTAACATTTTCGATTAATTATTATTATTATGTTTAAGCATTTTTATATAATTAAAATGAGTAACGTCTTTTACAATCAAAGTAAGATAAGTTTAGTTCTTTGAAACGAAAGGTATAAAGGCGATTTCAACAATTTTTTTTTCATTATTATTGACTGTATCTTTAGGTAATTTACATAGCATTTTATATTAAATGCCTTATAATCCTATTTTCTAATTAGACTAATCTAATTAAATATTTTTAATTTATTTATGTATTTCTTCGAATTATTTTTCAACATCATCACATTTAGATAAATTAAAGGTCATTTTCATTTTTTTTTTCTCATTTAAAGTTTCGTTATTATCTTATTATATATTAGTTTTATTTTTAATACTTATTAAAGACTTTGCCTTGTTAATTTTTTTTTTTTTATTCTCCTCTATGTTAATAACACAGTTTACTTAGTCAGTTTTTGTTCTTTAAAAAGTAGAGCTTTTAAATTTTCCATTAGTGTCTTTTCGACTCTGAAAACTATCGTTTTGAATATTACTCAAACAGAACATATTACTATCACTTCGAGTGGGCATTTCTTTATAGGAATCATTTGATTAAGGCATTTATTTTTTATTTAATTATTTTAAAGCATTTTTTAAAGATAAAATCTTATTTAAACAGTCCTAATCATTTTGGGCTTTAAAAAAATTCTTCAAAGCACGATTTAATTAGAAATTTTGAGTTTCGAAGTTAAAAATAATTATTCCTTCATTAATTATTTCGAATAAAATCGTACAAACATTATTTATGTCATGTATATTTTCGTGCTCTTATTCTGTAAAAGTGTTTATATTAAATAACTTCTAGTGCATACTTTATTAATAGGAAAGGAATTTCTTTCTAAAATAAATATCACTGTCTGATATTGATTTTTTTAATTTTCCTTCTGTATTTGATTTTATGTTTCTTTATCTATATTTTTTTTTATTATTTATGTTTTATAAATCCACTTTCTAGTTTGTAATATTAATAAATTTTTCAAAATCTTTAATGATTTATTAGGCTGTATTTTCGAATTAAACTTCTTTTTAGATTTTTTCTTAGGTAATTATTGTTTTATGTATTTTTATTTTAAAGTTTTTTTCTTATTTTTTTTTTAATAATTTCTTTATTGAATATATAATACAAACAGTCTCCAAAATTAAAATGCAAACATTTAAATATTACCATTCATCAATCACTATGTAAAATAATAAACAGAAAAAAATTGTTGAAATTTATAAAAAAACTTATTTTATATTTGCATCTTTTACAAAAAGAATATTTTTACTAAAAATTGTTAATATACAAAAAAATATGAAGCAAATATTGCTTTACAGAAGTTGATAAAAATGTATAAAATTATCTATAATATTTAAAAAACTTTAAAATTGCTAACTATATATTATTTCTTTGCAAAATTTACTATTTTTTTAAAAAAAGAATACTAATCTCAATATATTTAAAATTAAATCAATATAAACTATTACTAAAAATAAATTAATTCCAAAAAATTATTATTCTTTAATACATTTTAATTAGTTTTTGGACAAAACATTGTCTTATTAAAATTCTTATAAATTAATTTAGATTTATTTTATTTAAAAACCATCTATGATAAAAAAAATTATATAAGTTAAATCTATACGATTTAAAAATTTTAATGATTTTATTTTGCATAAATAAATTTTTTGGCTTTAATACATTTTTTTATTATTAATTTAAATAATAAATAGTATTTTTCTAATTATTCTTAATTTGTTATTAATGTGAGATAATTAGAAAAAATATAAAATATTGATTTTCTTAATTTACAAACACATATTTATAATATAAAATATTAAAAATAATAAACCATGATTTAATAATATAAACATAACATATAATTATATATAATATAAAATAAAACGTGATAAATAATTAAAAAGAACATATTACAAATAAAAATAAAAATAAAAAAAAATATCTATATATATAATAATAAAAATAAAAAAATTAAATACGTATATTATTTTTAAATACGACTAAATCAATTTATCAATATCTGAAATAAAATAAATATAATTCAATCTTTTATTAATTTATTTATTGAAAATATTTTTTTGTTTTATAATTTAAATAAATTTATTTTTATTAAATAAAAAAATCTTAAATTTTATATTAATAAATTTATTATTAATTTAATAATTTATTTGAACTTTATTTGAAATATTTTATTATAGTTTTTATAATTTTTTTTCAATAAAACCTTAAAAAATAAAAATATTTCTTTTTAGGTTCTAAACATTTTAATTAATTTTTTTTTTAAATATCTTTATAAAAAATATCTATTAATTTATTTTTAATATATTTTTGTATTAACAATTTCACATCAATCACACATAATTTTTTAAAGTTTTGTTATTAATTGTAAAAATTAAAAAATATATATCTTTAAAAATTAATATTTTAAAATATAAATAAACATTTATCAAACAAAAAATATTTTATTTTAATTTTTCCTTATTTATATTTTTTATTCATATTATTATTTTTTTGGTTTTTTTGAAAGTTTATAATTATATTTTTTCTTTTTTATAATAAGAAAATATCTTTATTTTTAAAATTTAATTCATTTTTTATTAATTTATATTAAATTCATTATGTTATTTTGTTAAAAATAATATTTATTACTTGTTTTTATTAACAATTGAAATATATAGTGAATAAAAAGAGTTTGGAAGGTATGTTAATCACATATATTTTAAAATATTTATAAAATTTAGATTTATTTATAATTTTATGATTGATATTTAATAATTTTTATAACAAAATGAAAATATTATATAAAATAATTATAAACTATTTTTATTTTATCTTCTTTAATTAAGAAAACTAATAAAAATTTACTAAATAATTTACATTAAATATAGTTTGATCTTATAATTTTTAACCTGTTCAACATATTATAAAATAAACGATTATAAACAAGAAAATTACACATTGAATATTTTTATTTTATTTATTTTCCTTAATTATAATTAATATCTTAGATTACTATAAAGTTATAATTTAATCTATTCTTCCTAATTTCATTTATGAGCACTCATTTTTCATTATTTTCTATATTCACTATTTATATGTTTCCGTTTAACTAATTCGAAAAAAAAAAAATATACAAATAGTTAATATTCAAAAAGTTTTTAATTTATTAATTATACAATACTATTATAATTTATAATACAATATAAAAATGAAAACAAATATATATATATATAAATATATATATATAATATATATATATAATTTAATATTAATATTAATATTAATAAAATCAGGTTAACAACTTTTATATTTATGTAAAAAATTTAAATATAAAAATAAAATATTTTTTATTTAATGTTTTATCTAAATTTCATTTTATGTTATGATATACTTTTAAATAATGAAAAATTTTATTATATTTTTTGATTTATAATAAAAAAAAATATAAACAATTTCTAAATTAATATAAAATTAAAAATAATAATATTAATAAGTTTAATTTTTTTAAATATTTATTTTGAAATTTATCGTAATAAAAATTAAAGATATTTTTTTTTGTTTATATGTAATAAAAATATTTTCTATTATTTTTCTTATAATTTAATTATATTCATAATTCATTTTTTATTTAATTTAGGACCCAATCTTGTATACTTTTCGATGTTTTTTCTCCTTAATAAATAACTCCTTTTTTAATTATATAATTATAATTAGTTCCTTAATTTTTTTATTAAAAATTTACCTTATTAATAGCTTTTAGAATTTTATCTAAAATAAATTATATTAGGATATTTTGTAAAACCAAATTATTATGGAATATTTTTATTTATTGCCGAATCAAATTATCCGATATTTATTTAATTAATATCTATATTTTTTTAAATGATATCCCATTCGCTTTAAAGCTTCTTACAATTGTCACATCTTCTAAAAATATTTATAATCCAAGGTTTTTCGCTTTATAGAACATTTTTATCGAAATTAAAATCATTAAGTATTGCTAAATTGCCTTAATACTCTAATTAATCATAATAACAATTAATTATACAAAATGATAATAAATAAAAATATTAAAAGATTAATGTCATTTAATAACTATGTATATGTTATTTCTTTATTATGTAAAATAAGAAATAAATATTAAAAAATATAATTTAATATTTTGCTATATTATTATCTTGAGTAATTAATCAATTAAAAAATAAATTACATAAAAAATAAGTTTTTATACAAAAAAAAATATAATTTATTTTTATTATTATTTTTGATTATTATTATTATTATTAATATAAAAAAAAAAAAAAAAAATTAATAAATATTTTAAACAATTAATTATATAATATATAAAATGATTTATTTTAAATTTATATTAATTTATAATTTATATAATTTTATATTAATTCACTTATTTTTATCAATAAATATTTTATATAAATAATTTAATAAAAAAAAAATATTTAGCCTTTTGTTTTTATAAGATTTTTATACTTTATTACAATTTTATATTTAAAATAATAAAAATTAATTTTTATTGTTTTTGTAAAATAATAAGGAATATATTATATAAATAAAAAATTATATTAATACATTATAAATAATAATAAATATAAATTATATATTTTTTTTTTTATATATAATTAGTTTTTAATTTTTTTTTTATTTATTATATTTTATAAATTATTAATTATATAAATATATATATTTAATATTATATTTTATTATTATATTTAAAAACGCAAATAATTTTATAATTATTATATTTTTTAGTTTTTTTTTTTTTTTATAATTTTTGATATTTAATTAATAATTATTTAATATTTTGTAAAAATACGTTTTTTTAGAATAAAATCTAATTTATTAAGTTTTTTCAGACATAATAAATAAATTATATAATTTTTATTTAGATTTAAAATCTTATTTTAAATTTCTAAAAAGCAAAAACATTGTTTAAGAATCAATGTATAGATTAAATCATTTATTTTAAAAAATTTTAAACAATTATCTTAATTTAAATTTTGTTTTTAATTAATTTTTAGAAAAATAATTATTTTTAATAAATAAAAAAAAATTAAAATAAATTTAAAATTTATTAAAAATATTTTAATAAAATAGAAATAATTATATAAACTAAATAAACGTAAAAATATATTTATATTATAAATTAACTTTTTGTATATTTTTGCTATTTTAATTTATTAATGGAATAATAATTGTTAACCTTAATTATATATGCAAATATTTTTTTTTATAATAATATTCATAAATAAAAACAATAAATAAAAAACAAAAAATAAAAAAATAAAAATAAAATATAATGATAAACAAAAATATGATAAAAACATTATTTTTAATTACCTTATTATAATTTGCATTTACTGATGATGTAAAAGAATGTTAAGATTTCACAACAAATAACATTAGTTAAGTCAATGACGCATGGGAAATCAAAAATAAACTTAATGTTCCTTAATATTATAAAATTAATAATAACGATTTTGATGATGAAGTTACAAAAGTTCCATTTTACTCTTAATGCAGTAAAGAGGAAATTTATGTATAATCTAATAATATGAATTTAGATTAAGAAGATTTTGACGAGAATGAATGGAAAACTAGAGATAATTATGAATACATTTTTGGTCTTTAATAAAGATTTGACACAGATACAATTATAAGAAGAAAAATCACCTCAAGTAGAAATAATTTACCTTCAAAATGTACTGTTTAGTTTGATTTATATCTTTAAGGATATAGAACTAATGATGTATTCTATATATACCTTGATGAAGATTCTGGTCTTTAATAAAGTAATATATATATATATATATATATAAATATTTATACTTATATTAATTTATTAAAAAAGTTAATTCGTTTGATTGTGCAAGTTACGTAAGTAAAAATGCTGTATAAAAAGATCCAATTACAGGTGCACTTGTTACACCTGCAAGAAAATGCTATGACAGTGTATATTTCAGAACTTTAACTGCTTTTAAAATTTTTATAAAACCCTTCACATATATTCCAAAAAAATCAACTTATTATCTCTAATTCTAAGGTAAATTTAAAGCAAAAAGTTTAGGAGATGAAGCATTTTGGGGTATTAAAAATTTAGACATAACATGTACTTATGATTAAGTTCCTTGCCTAGGTGGCTAAACAAGATAAACTGATGGATCATGTGCTTGTCCTAATAATACATAATGGTCATCAAGTAAAAACTAATGTGATTGCTTAGGAAGTCACACTGAATTAAATAATGATAAATCAAAATGTGTATGTAGTTCTGGATGGGTTCCTAACCCTTCATTAGATAATACTTTTAAATTGAACTGTTATCCTGAAAAATGCCCTGGAAATCAAATTCCCGACACTGTAACTGCTTCATGTATTTGTCCAGGAAATACTAAACTCATAGATAAAACCAAATGTGGATGCTCCAAAGACTTAAACTTAGTCTTAAATAATGATTAAAATTCATGCGTATGTTCATTAACAGGGGAATTTATTTTGCAAAAAACAAACAATATATTAATTTCTTGCTCTTAATGTCCTAAAAATACAGCATCTAACGATACTTAAACTAAATGTATAGGATGCTAAAATAATTTAATTTTAATAAATAGAAAAGACTGTGTCTGTCCTAGTGATATGTAATATTAATCACTAACTAAAAAATGTTTAAGTTGTCCTTCAAACTTGATCGCTTCATTATCTGTAGCAGATTAATGTGAATGTCCTGACGGTTTAATTAGAAATCCTAAAAAATAAGAATGTATCTGTCCATAAGGAGATTACGCTTAAAATTTTGATGAAAATGGTAAATTAATTTAGTGTAGTAAATGCCCTGAAAATTATATTATTTTACCAAACGATTTAAGAACTTGTGTAGGATGTAATGCTAATTCTATATGGAATACTGAAAGAAATAAATGTATATGTCCTCAAGGATTATCCTGGTTAATAGGTTCTAATTAATGCGGATGCACAGGTAATAATACTATAATGTAAGGAAAAATTTGTGTTTGCTAGAGTGGATTTGTACCAGTGCGTAAAGGTGATTTAACTATATTAAACTGTAGACCAATTCCTAAGTGTAATGAAAGTTGTTTCTCTTGTGTTAAAGATGATGATAAATGTAACAAATGTAAAGGAAATCTTGAATTTGATTCAGAAGATGATACTATATGTAAATGCCCTTCCGGATTAGTATTAAATGAAAAAGGAGATAATTGTAATTAATGTGCTGAAGGATAAATAGTAAACCCAAGCAATCCTAAAAAATGCATATGTCCAAATGATTTAGTTTTAGATTCTAACACTGGAAAATGTGTTTGCCCAAACAATACCTAATTAGTAAATGGTATATGCGGATGCCCAGGAGCTAATACTCTTCTCTAGAACAAAGTATGTGTCTGCAAATAATAGTATGTACCTGTTCGTAAAGGAGCTACTAAAACACTAGTCTGTAGACCAATTCCTAAGTGTAATGAAAGTTGTTTCTCTTGTGTTAAAGATGATGATAAATGTAACAAATGTAAAGGAAATCTTGAATTTGATCCAGAAGATGATACTATATGTAAATGCCCTTCCGGATTAGTATTAAATGAAAACGGAGATAATTGTAATTAATGTGCTGAAGGATAAATAGTAAACCCAAGCAATCCTAAATAATGCATATGTCCAAATGATTTAGTTTTAGATTCTAACACTGGAAAATGTGTTTGCCCAAACAATACCTAATTAGTAAATGGTATATGCGGATGCCCAGGAGCTAATACTCTTCTCTAGAACAAAGTATGTGTCTGCAAATAATAGTATGTACCTGTTCGTAAAGGAGCTACTAAAACACTAGTCTGTAGACCAATTCCTAAGTGTAATGAAAGTTGTTTCTCTTGTGTTAAAGATGATGATAAATGTAACAAATGTAAAGGAAATCTTGAATTTGATCCAGAAGATGATACTATATGTAAATGCCCTTCCGGATTAGTATTAAATGAAAACGGAGATAATTGTAATTAATGTGCTGAAGGATAAATAGTAAACCCAAGCAATCCTAAATAATGCATATGTTCAAATGATTTAGTTTTAGATTCTAACACTGGAAAATGTGTTTGCCCAAACAATACCTAATTAGTAAATGGTATATGCGGATGCCCAGGAGCTAATACTCTTCTCTAGAACAAAGTATGTGTCTGCAAATAATAGTATGCACCTGTTCGTAAAGGAGCTACTAAAACACTAGTCTGTAGACCAATTCCTAAGTGTAATGAAAGTTGTTTCTCTTGTGTTAAAGATGATGATAAATGTAACAAATGTAAAGGAAATCTTGAATTTGATCCAGAAGATGATACTATATGTAAATGCCCTTCCGGATTAGTATTAAATGAAAACGGAGATAATTGTAATTAATGTGCTGAAGGATAAATAGTAAACCCAAGTAATCCTAAATAATGTATTTGCCTTGGTGGTCAAATTTTAAATACTTTAACTGGATTATGTTCATGCCCTAACAACACTTAATTAGTAAATGGAAGATGTAATTGCCCAGGAGCAAATACATAACTTTTAGGTAGGTAATGCTTTTGCATTTCTGACTTTGTACCAGTTCGTAAAGGAGTTACTAGTACACTTGTCTGTAGACCAATTCCTAAATGCAACGAAAGTTGTTTGTCATGCAGAGATAATGATGATTTTTGTGTAAAATGTCTAAATAATCTTATACCAAATCCTAATGACGATACTTAATGCAAATGCCCTGAAGATTCTACTCTTAATAAAATAGAAATGAAATGCTATAGAAATTGTACCCAAAGACAAATGAATGACCCCACTGATTCCTTGAAATGTATTTGTAAATACCCTTTCTAAATTAATCCTGGTTCTACTTCTTGCAATTGTCCTCCTGATCAATCATTAAATTCTGATGGAACTGGATGTGAAACCAATATTTAAGATTGTGCTAGTGTAGGTGCCGTTTTAGGTTAAGATGCTCTAGGTAAATCAATATGTATCTGTCCACAAGATACTATTACAAAAATTAACGAATTCACTGGATTAATTGAATCGTGTGACAAATCTGATGTACCTACTCTTTGTAGTAAAACATGTGAAAAATGCTTACCTAATTCAAATATTTGTGTTGATTGTCCACCTGGTAATTCCTTAACAGATGATAGAAAATCTTGCTAACCCTCTAAATGTCACCCAAGTTGTCACTGTGATAAAATCAGTAAAGAATGTGCAAGTTGTGCCATATGTACTAGATGTAGAGAACCTTCAATGGCTGTAATGATATAATAAGATTACTGTGCATGCCAAACACCCTAATTTGTATTAAAACCTGATTCCTCATGGTAATGTAAATCAGTTCCATAATCTGTACCAATCCCAGTTTGTGATTGGTAATTATTCAATTAAATCGTAAACATGGTTGTTGTATCTAACTGTTCATTATAAAAAGACGAATAAAATAACACTTTTGTAGTTGATGCAATTCATTATGATTTCAGAAGACTTTCAGTCGAATTAAGTGCTGACTGTTAAAAAGAATTAAAAACATAAGTTTTTATCGCTACTGATTGCTTAAATTACAAGCCTTTAGATCTTAAGTATTTATCCATTATTAACTCTACTTAAACTAAAATAAAAATTCCTCTCATAGATTTATATGATCTTAATGCTGAATATAAAATTGATACTAGAACTATTTATTAAAGACTTTGTTTTGCTATCGAATTTTCTAATTCTAATGCTACTATTAGATAACATAAATTTGAAATGAGAGTATTTACAAATAGAGATTAAGTAGAAGTATTCCATTTAGATGTCTCCAAATAAATCACTGAAGGTTGCGATAAAGGATAATAATGTATTATTGTTGCTGATTTAGATGTTAAAGGTTCTGTTTGTAAAGATTAAAGTTGCGTAGATTTCCTACCTGAAAATATTATACCTTCCTATATTGTTGGTGATCATATGTATGTAAGAATTTAATTTGTAGATAATACTTATAAAAAATTCTTAACTGTTGTTTCAGTTAAATTCGTTGATGATAGAGGTATTTATAATTATGAAAAAAATTCATAATACTGGACTATTAGATAGCAACCTGGATCAGTAGATGTTAATATTTTATTATTCTAACCCCAAATAAATGCAAGAGTTGAAGTTTAATTGAAAATATCTCTTAATCCAGATTCTAGATTAAGAGGATTGGTAGAAAGTACTAATACTGAACTTATTACTTCAATGTTCAGAACATAAGTATTGTAATCAAAAAATACTGTAAGTGCTTAAAGTGATAATGAAAAATCTTCTTTCGGATTTAATTTAATTTTCACTGTTTTAGGATTATTAGTTTGTTTATTAATATGAATTTGAGAAATATATTTATATATAGTTAAAAAGTTTATAAAGTTAAATTATATATATTTTTGATTTTAATATATTTTTAAAAAAAAAGTTTTAATAATTACTATTTTTTATAATATATATTATATAAATTTTCTAAAAAAATTAAAGTAAAATTTTAATTTAAATATTAAACCTTATTTAAAAAAATTTAAATAACTAATTATTTATTAAATTTTGAAATTAGAATTAAAATATTAATAATAGAATTTAATAGTAATATATTAGAAATTTTAAATGAATTTATTTATAAATTTGATTATACGAATAAACATTTAATAAGTTTTTTAATTTGAAAGAAATATTAACTTTTTTGAAAAATAAAAAAATAAATTAACAAAATAATTTCGAAAAATATAAAGAAATCTTTATTTTAATAAAGAATTATAAAAACTTATATTTTATTGTATATAACATTAAAAATATAAAATAAGTAAAATTATTATTTATATATATATATATATTTATAAATATTTAATTATCAAATCATATTAATAAATATATTTAATTTATTTAATTTATTTATTATTTTTCTTAAATATTTTTAACTCATATTTATAATTAAAAATATATTATTACTTAAAACTCAGAAAAAAAAATTTTCCTTTATAACTCATAAAAAAATATATCATGTACATCTAAAAGTATAAAATAAAAATTAATTCATAAACAAAAAAAGAGAATATAAAATATAGTTTTAGTTATATATGCTAATTTATAAATAAAAAATTGAAAAAATAGATAAACATAATATTTATAATAAACTAAAATAAATTGATTTATTTTGAATATCTCAAATAATAATCAAGAAGATATAATACATTAGTAAAATAATAATAAATAATATCTTATAAATAAATGATAAAAAAAAGTAAAATTTTAATTTAAAAAGATTTAACGCTTTTATAAACAATCAAGTAATATAAAAAATAAAGAAATTTTGATAATAAAAAAAATTAATAATTAACCAATATTTTGACTTTATCTCCTAATTATATACGTTCATTTCAAGCTATTATATTTTTTTATGAAAAAAAATTTAAATAATAATAATTATTATGTTTTTTTTTTTATTACTATAATTTAAACTTTTTAAATGTATCTTAAATATATTATAAACTCAAATATAATTAAAATAGGAAACATCTCAATGCTTTTTTATATTCCTTATTAAAATGAATATGCCTTCTGTTTAATTTTCAATTATCTAATTTATAAATAATTATTTAATTAAAATAATTTATAATTTTAAGAAGAATAAAAAGATTAAAAAATAATTTAATAATTTAAATATTAATATCATCAAATAAAAATAAATGATAAATATATTTATTACATATTTTCAAATAAAAATATAAAATTAATGATTTTTATAGATACAAATTTATTAAATATATATTTAATTTATTAAATAAAGAATTATTAATAACATATATATAAAGAAATATAAATTTTAATAACAAAAATACATAAATAAAAATGTAATTAATATTTAAGCAAGCATATATATATTTTATTGCTATTGTATTATGAAAAAGTAGAGCTTTTTCTCCTTTTTTAATAGTTAAAAATAAAAAAATTAATCTATTTTTTTATTTATAAACTATTAAAAAACCCAATCAAGTTTTACTTTTTAATAATACAATATTTTTAAGCATATATTATTTTAATAAACTAAATAATATATTTTGTGTCAAAAAGATATATCAAATACAATCTTTTTAAAATAAACTTTAAATAATATTATTCAAAATTTGTTTCTTAAATTTACTAAATATAAAATATTATTTGTATAATATTTATAATTAAAAATTTTAACAATATATTTTTATTTTTGTAAAACTATTTTAAAAAATAAAATTAAATACTTTATGGAAAAGTTTGATATAAACAAGTAATATCCTAGACATAAAAATGCATACGCAAAAGGTATTATTTTTAAAAAAGCAATAGATAGTCTTTTTTTAAAAAAAAATTATTAAAATATAAAAAAATCATTAATGCTAATTTATTAAAAAATAACAAAATGAAATAGGAGGATTTCACATGAGTTATGTAAAAGACACAAAAGCAAGAGATATAGTCAATAGTGTTATAAAATAAATGGGTTAAAAGTTATTGAAAGGAGAGCTAAAAGACTTAATGGGAATTTCAAAGCCAGTAGCTTTATCAAAACATTTAACATATATGGAAATTCTATCAAAGTGATAAAAATATTATAAATTATTAAAAAAAAAAAAAAAATTATAAAGATAGAGTTAATAAATATTATTTATATATATATATATTATTATTAGTGATTTCTATTTCTAGAAACATTTATAAATTGCCGCATAAAATTCAGACAATCCGCTTTTGTAAATGCAATAAGTAGTTACACACATAGTAAAGAAATAAAACAATTATTAGTAATAATTAAAATTATTTATTATTTCAAAGATTGCAAGTTAACATGTTGCATCTACAATGTTATATACAAAAGCTCCTTTAGATAATGTAACAGGAGAAACATGCCATGTATAAATTATTTCATTTTTTTTTTATGTATACATAAATATATTTAGCTATCTAAGCCAAATGGCTCTAATTACTATGCAGAATGCATATCTAGTTCTCCCCCAGTAGCTGTTTATTAAATAATAGGCCCAAATAATGAATATAAAATATATGGTTCACATTAGGTAATATATAATAGATATTAAGTATATAAAATAACTAAATAAAAATTATTTAGACAAAAGTAACTTTATCTAAATCTCTTAATACTTTATACGGAGAAACATAAGGTAAGAAAATAATTGACTTTGGGAATGGAAATTAATATGAATGTGAATATCCCAAAATGTTTGATTTATTAAATGTATATTTAAATTTATAAATAAAAAAGTGTAATAGAAGGAATATTAATGGGTGAGAGAGTTTTATATTTATATGATACATTCAAAGTAATAAATAAGAAAACAAAATTATATGCAGAAATATAATTTGGATATGAAGTATATATATTTATTAAAAAAACTATTCAATATGTATTTATTCTTTATTTAAAAAAATAAAACAAAATAATAACAGATCTAAGGAGGAGTATAAATGATTTAAAATGGAATAGGTAGAATAGGAAATTTATTTATGGGAAAAAAGTAGGACTGCAGGTAAAAAAAAAGACCAGATGATTTCGATGTGTAAATATATAAATAATAATAAATGGGTGAATATTAAGAGGTAATGAAAGCAACTATTTCTGAAGGTTATGGAAATTGGCTTGAATATATTTAATTTGACAATTAAATATTATGGAAAATAGATGAATAGGAAGATTAATGGTAATATAATGGATTCGAATTATTTTCTGATGCTTAAATAAGAAAAGACAGAAATTTAATCGAATAAGGATAATATGAATTAGCAGAAAAGTAAAAGAATTATTATATGTTTATTCATACTAATATATTATTAGATTAAAAATTGAAGTTGAAAAAATAGATCGTTAGGACAAAGAGTTAAGAAAATAATTTTAAAAATAAAAATGAAAAATAATAGAAAAAATAATTTATTTAATGTTTGATATAAAATAATGAATAAAAATATAAAAATATATACTTTTTTTTTTTAACAAAAAATAAAAAATTCATTTTTCTATATCTTTTAATTATTAGATTAATCCTTAATTATTTCGAATTTTTTACATAGAGTAATTTTAATTAAATATTTTTTTATTTAATTAAATTTAAATCGTTTCTAATTTTATATCTCATTTAAATTTATTTATATACAAAAAATAGTAGGAGGATAGGATATAAATATACTAAATATTCAAATAAATTTAGCAAAAGCTAAATAAGGAATATATAATAGATTAATTAATTTGAAATAAATCTATAAACTTATATATGAATATTAATTTAAAAAAAAAATACTAAAAATAAATAAACACATATAATATCTTATTTAAAATATAAATTTTTTATAATAAATTAAAAAAAAAAAAAAATTAAAAGATTTAAATATTTACATAGATATAAATTAATTGTTATTATAATATTTATATTGAGATTTCGAATTTATATAATATTTTTTGTAAATTCATAAAAATTATAAATTAATAAATATAAAAATAAAAAAAATCTTAAATAAAAAATATATATGAATATATATATATATATATATTTATGTATTAGTTATAAATATTTTTTATTTTATTTAATTAATTATTTATATATTTAATTTATAATATATTTTGTATTTTTTTTTTATTTATTATTTTATATTATTTTTTTTTATAAAAATTAATTATAGATAATAAATAATGTAATTTTATTAAAATCTATTTTACTTAAAAATCTTTTTAAAAAATAAATAAAATATATAAACGAATTAAAAAAAAAAAAAAAAAAAAAAAAAACACTTAAATAAAAAATTATATATTAAAAAGTTAACAAAAAACTAACTGTTTCAAAAAAATTAAAAATAACAAAATTAAAAAATTATAATAAATAAAAAATAGCAAGAAGAAAATTATTTGTACGCCCGCGAACTCCGTTTATAAAATAAATTTGATGAAGCCTTATAAATATACCAAGACCTAATTGACAAGCAAGACGGTGAACAATACGATTTAGTTCGTGAAAAAGCCCATACACTTTCCGAATAAGGAAGCTATGCTAAAGCAATTCCTGTATACGAGCTTTGTATATCATTATATCCGCCTTCATAAGATTTAAAAGCTTATGAAAAAATGGATCTTTCTAACACTTATATAGGTTTAGCCCGTGCATATTCAGAAAAAAAGAACTATGATGAAGCCCATAATTTGTTAGATAAAGCAAAACGGGAATGTATAGAAAATTTAGGTCGTATAAAAATCGAAAGGGCATTAATTTATATAAAATAAAATAAAAGAAATGAAGCAAAAGAACTTCTATTGGATGTTTCTTAAACTTCCACAAACCAGAAAATAAAGCAAGAAGCTCTATTTAGACTTGGCTTCATTTCCACTAACGCAAAATAGGCTCTAGACTATTATTTAAAAGCAGATTAATAAGACGACGCAATCTTATTTAATATAGGAAACTGTTATTTAAAATTAGGAAAATACGATGGAGCAAAAGAATACTATAAGCGTGCTTTAGAATTAAACAGAGACCCTAATTATTTATTTAACTACGCGAAAATGTTCGAACTAAACGGCCAATACGAAGACGCAAAAGAAGAGTATGAAAGAGCCTTAAGTTTATTGAAAAATAATACTAATGCAGTCTAAAGTTATTTAAAGATTAAATTCTCAATAGGAAACTGTGAATTACATTCAGGTAATTTCGACAAATCCATTTAGTTTTATGAATAAGTTTTAAAAAGCGAAAATAAGGATGTTTTTGAGGAACTTGCTATAGTCTATTTTAACAAAGGAATGGCCCTTTATTAAAAAGGCGAAATGGAAAAGGCGGTAACCGAATATTTACAAGCTTTAGAATAAGACCCTTCTCTAAAAGCCGCACATTTCTAACTAGGCTGTATTTTAGTCGATAAGAAAAAATACTAAGAAGCTATAGAAAAATTTTACACTAGTCTAAGTACTGAAAATGAAGATGATGTATACAATGCTAAAGTACATAATGATTTAGGTTATTGTTTCACGTAATTAGGAGATTTCTAAAATGCAGTTAATCATTTCTAGATTGCATGTAATTTAGATAAAAATAATCATTAATTATTATGTAATTTTGGTGTTTTGAAAACTAAACTTAATTAACCTACAGAAGCTTAAGAAAAATTTGAATAAGCTTAAAAGGTTCTAGAAGAACTATAATTGAATTCTAAATAGGTGACAATAAATATATAAATATATATATAATTAAAAAAAGATGGCTAATTCAATGAGTGCAATAACTAGTTTTTAAAGAGTATCTAAAATGTAAAAGAAAATACCTTAAAATTTATCATTAGAATCTAAATAAGGAATTCTTAAAGTTCTCGAAAGCGAACAAGAAAACGATGTAGATTCTTTAACAAAACTTCTCAATATGATGGACTTAACCCGTGAAAATAAATAAGACGATGAGAAGAGATAACTTGAAATGGAAATTATATAATCCAAAATGTAAAAATATGAAGAAATAATCCTAAATATGCAAAACTATAACCTATAAATGTAATAAAGAGCCAAATAAACAGACGAAAGATTAGCTAAATCAGAATTTTATCAATAAAGACAAAGAGAAGAAATGGACGAAATAGCCATAATAATGCGTGATGAAAACCTAAAAGAATACTATAATGCAATAATTGAATAGTTAAATACTATACTATAAATAGCAGTAGTTTCTAAATAGAAAGAATTCTATAATATTCAAGTAAATACCACTACAGCAGCTTCAGTAGCTTCGTCTTTATTATCTTTTGTCCCTTTTGCTGGAAAAATATTATCCCAAGCGACAAAATCATTGGATTCTTTAAGAACTTAAAAAATTAATGATACAAAAGCTAAAGTTATTTTCGATGTTTTTCCAAATACTACACTTTTTGATGCCTTTACAATGTATGTATCTCGAAAAACAGCATTAAGTAAATAAGAAATCATAACTAATTTCCTTAAAGAATAAAGTCAAAAAGAAAAATAATAAGAAGAAAAAGATGGAAAATTCAAATTATTTTTAAAATGGGCATAAAATACATATTAGACTGTTAGTAATAATGTTATTTCATTTATAGCTTAAATTTAAGATTATAATGAACATCCACTCAAATAATATGCACGAGCAGAAGCTTTGGCGGCTTTTACTTGGTATTTCGACTGTATTGAAGATAAAAAATTTGATTAAGAATTCGTTATTAGAGATAGAGAGATTTTAGGAGAATTTTTTGTTTAAGTTTTATTGGAAAAAAAGGAGTAGCCGGATTTTTTGGAAATAAAAAATAAAAGTGTAAAAATTGTTAATGATAATAGGAATAAAGAGAAAGAAATTATGGATAAATTTAAAGAAAAAAAATGATTTTTTTTTTAATATATACAATTTATTAATTTTTATTTTATTAATAACATTTATTTATTATTTTAAATAATTTTATATATATATTTATTATAAACTAATTTTTTATAATTTCAAATAAAAATAACTAATTTATAAATAAATATAAATATTAAAATAAAAACATATTATATACTATATTAAAAAAAAAAATATCTTCTGAATGCATTAAAATTAAAGAATTGTTTATTTTTTAAAATTAAAATATAATTTTATAATAAATTTTATATATCTTTTTTATTTTCTTAGATTTTTAATAAAATCAAAAAAGATATTTGATAATCTTATTCTCTTTATATTTAATTTAAATAATGAATAAAATACTAATAATTTAACATTTGCAGAGAAAAAAGTATTATAAATTTTGTATTAAAATAAAATTATAAATAGTATTAGAAAATATAATATAATATTATGTAATACTTTTTTACAATATATAGAGATTAAAAAAATTTTTTGTTAATTTTATAAAAATTAAAAATTTATATTATTTATATAAATTAGGATTTAGATGTATATTTCATTTTGTTTTATTATCAGATTATAAATTTATATACTTGTTATAAATGTGAATTTATTTTAATTCATTTAAAAAAATAAAAATAAATAAATAAGTACAAATTATAATAAATATATAAAATTAATATATTTAAATAAAATAAGAATATATATAAATAAAAATATTAATATTAATATACGAGTAAAAAAAATTAATTTTAAAATAAAAATTAAAAATATATATATATATATATATATATATATATATATATATATATATATAAAAAATATATATATATATATAATATAAATATAATAATTTTATATAACTAATTTTCTTTTAATTTTATTTTTTTTCATTATAATTTATTAGTTGCCTATTTTTTTGATTGAAATATTTTTATTTCAATTATAATTTGGTGATTTTTAAATAAACTATTTTTTTTTATTTTTTAATTTAAGTTTATTATTTTACATTATAGCATTTTGTATTTTATATATTTATTAATTTAAGTATTTTATATATTCTTATAATTATTTTCATAACATTAATATAAATGTTTTTAATTATTTCTATTTTCTTTAATTTTCATTTTTTTCAATTTTTAATTTCTCGTTTTTATAAATTTATTTAATCCTTAAGCTTTTAATTAACTTTATAGTATTAGTATATATTTATATAAGTTCAATTAATAATATTTTATTACTTTTAATTTTTCTTTCTCAGCCCTTTAGTATAAATAATATTATTATTAAGTTTATAATTTTAAAAAGTTTATTGATATCATTTTTTTATTCATGTATTTTAAATTATTATAAAAAATATTTATATAAATTTTTTAAAATTGATTATTTTATTGCGAAATATAAGATAATAATTAGTTTGTGTTTTTGTTAATTTTAATTAATTTTATATATATTTCTTTGAGCAATTCTGTTTATTTTATAATAATAAATATTTTGTGTGTATTATAAATAAATACAAGATTTTCTCGTTTTTTTCTTTTTTTAAGTTTTATTTTTATTTTTTTATTTATATATATATATAATATTTTTTATAAATATATTGAAATTTTATTTTATTAATTAAAATTGTCTATTTTTTTATTTTAAATTAAAATTATTATTATTATTTCAATTTTTTTTCTATAATATTACTATTTATTATAAAATTCTTAATTAAAAAAAAAAACAAAACAAAACAAATTAGCTTTTCGCTTATTTTTATAAACATAATAAAATTATATTTCAAAAATAAATGGATTAATTAAAAAACTTTATATAATTTTTTTTCTTATATTATAATTATTTAAAATAATATTTATAATCATTCGTTACAAACTAAAAAACAAAAAATATATTAAATATTTTATTGTTATATTGATTCAATTTTATCATTCAATCAACTTATTATTTTTTTATAAAAAAAAAAAATAAAAAAAAAAAAAAATGCAAAATATTCTCGAATAAAAATGTTAAAAAAAAAAAAAAAATTAAAAAAAAAAAAAAAAAGATAAAAACTCTATAATTGAATCATTTTACGGTTCCATATTAGATGAAGGATCATAAATAAAAAACCAATAAATTCCAATATTTCCAAGTAAACCAATCTAAATAAATCCAGAAAAACAAGTTTAAAATTTAAACAAAACATTTCAAATTTATAACTCAGACATTAAGTTTTAAATCAAAAACAAAGACACAGGTATTAATTATTTATTTGAATAAAAAAATAAAAAATTAAGGATAAATATCCGATATCCGTTAATATAAAGAAAAAAAGAAGAAGAAAAAAAATACACAACAACCGCTTGGGTAGATTGGTGGTAAAAAAAGAGATAAATAAACTAATAATTTCTCGAAAATTCAAAGCAAAATAATATTGAAAAATGTTTATAATTATTAGATAAAAAGCTTGCTGATTAAAAAGCCGAAATAAACACCAAAGATAGTCTTAATGGTTGGACGGCTTTACATTATTCAGCTTATAATAACAATTTAAACTTAATTTCACATCTTTTATTTCATGAAGCAATTATAGACTCTTTATCTTTACAAAACTAAACTCCTTTAATGTTAAGTACTATTAAATAAAACATAGATATAGTTCAAATATTAATAACAGCAGGAGCAGATATAAACATATAAGATTTTTAATAAAATACAGCCTTTCATTACTCTTGTATAGCTGGAAATCAAAAACTAATACAAATATTTTTAAAAAAAGCTAGTTTAAATTATAATTTAGTAAACAATGAGGGAAAAAAAGCATTAGATTTATGTGAAAATAAAAATATAAAATAGGATTTTTTTTCATATATGAACTTCCAAAGTGAAAATTAATAAAAAGTTAAAATAATAGAAACATAAAAGAAGTTAAACTAGATTTTTCAAAAAGGGAATATATAAAATTTATAAAAAAAAATAAGTGTAATATAAATATAAATATAAATATAAATATATATATATATATATATATATATATATATTCTATATAATTAAAAAATTTAGTCTATATCTACTCATTCTAATTTCTCCGAAGAAAAAATTGATATAAACACATTTAATATATTTGGAATGATAGGAAAAGGAAGCTTTGGTGAAGTTTTTTTAGTAGAAAAAAGAGATAATATGTAATTATATGCCATGAAAGTATTATAAAAATCTAAAATATTAAATAATAATTTAACCAAATATGCATTAACCGAACGAAATATACTATCTTCAATAAAGCATCCTTTCATAGTAAAACTAGTTTATGCATTTTAAAATACAGATAAGCTTTTTTTAATCCTAAATTATTGCCCAGGAGGTGATTTAGGTGAACTTCTTTAGAAAGAAAAATAATTAAGCGAATAACAAGTTCTTAATTATTCTGCCGAAATAGTATTAGCTTTGGAACATTTACATTCAAAAGATATTATTTTTAGAGACCTTAAACCTGATAATATAGTACTTGATCATTAAGGACATGCTCTTTTGACTGATTTTGGTCTTTCTAAAGAAGGTTATTTTTTATAAAGAAAATTTTATTAATTGGAATAATTCAAATATTTTTTAAATATATATAAATAAATATATATATATATATATATATATATATATATTTATATATTTATATATTTATATATATATTTCCTATATTGTTTTTAATTTATTTTATATTAAAAGGTGTTCTAGAAAACGCTACTGGAGCAAAATCTTTTTGCGGATCAATTGCTTATTTAGCACCTGAAATGCTCAAAAAATGTGGACATGGAAAAGCTGTGGATTGGTATTTACTTGGAGTTGTTATTTATGAGTTACTTGTGGGAATACCACCTTATTATTCTCATAATAAGTATAATAGTTTTTTTTTTATTATTTTATATTTATTTTTATATTTTTAAAGAGATGAATTATTTTATAATATTCAAAATGCTTAACTTAAATTACCTGATTTTTTATCAATGGAATCAAGATCATTACTTAAATCAGTAAATGTTTATTTATATATATAATTATTTTTATTTAATAAAAAAGCTTTTGTAAAGAAATCCTATTAAAAGACTTGGTTCTGGAAAAGGAGATGCTGAAGAAATTAAAGCTCATCCTTTTTTTAAAAAAATTAATTGGAAAGATGTTGAATAAAGGTTTATATTTTTAAATTGAAAAAAATAAATATATAATATTAAAAAAAAAAAAAAAGAAAATTAAAACATATTATTCATGAAAGAAAAATAAAGATAAATATTAATTTTGATTAAAATCATTTTAATATAAAATCTAATTTTGATTAATAATTATACATAAATGGATGGTCTTTTGTTGATAATAAATGAAAAAAAATATATTTTATATAAATTATTTAAAATAAAAAAAATGATTGTTTTATAATATTATTTCAATTAATTGTGTGTATAATATTTAATTTTTATATAAAAAAAGATAAATAATTAAATATATAAAAAATAAGATAAAATTATATGATTATAAAATTTAGAAATATAAAATAATTTTTTGAATAAAAAATAAATTTAAATAAATAATAAATATTATATATTATATATTATATATATAATATTTTTTTTTTATATATATTTTTAAATTTAAATATATATATAAATATTTTATAAATAAATATGATTTTTAAAATATATTCATTTATTTACTAAATAAAAAAAAAAATATATTTATATATTATTTTTTTCAATAATAATTACTATGATTGAATTTTAAATAATTTATTTTTTTAAAATATATAATTAAATATATTTCCTTTTCTTTTTTATCGAATAATACTCTGAACATAGATATATTTTAATTAAATAATTTACATTTTTTATTTTTTTTTATATTTAAAAAATAATTTCTTCTTTATTTTTTTTTTTTAAATTCATTTATTCTTATTATTTTATTTATTTATATTTCAATTACTTTCTATTTTGTAAACAACATTTCACATAATTTCTTTTTTTATTCTTAATTATTTATATTTATTATTTTATATATATATTTAAATATAGAACAATGCTTTATAAAATATAATTATTTATATTTATTTTATTTTTAAATGTTAAATATATAAAAAATGTAAAATATTTTAAATTAGAATGTAAATTGTATGAGCCTTTAATAATTTTTGACTCATTTATTTATAAAGACTTATTACTATGTATTAATTTAAATTTATTTAATATAAAATTATATATTTAAAAAAGAAATAAAATCCAAAGAAATAATATGGAATTTTTTAATACTGCTTTTTAAGATTAGAATTTATTATTTTTTCTTATAAAAACTACAAGGATACTTAAACTTTAAATATTACACAATATAAAGCAATCTTAATACATTATAGCAATCAAAAAATTTATTATTTAAATAGAAAATCTATATTAGTTTGCAAGAAAATAAAAAATATTTAAAAATATCTAAAACTAATATCAATATTATATTTATTTAGTATTTTATATTTAATTATAATAAATTCAGAAATAAAAACACATTAAAAATTAATAATTATATTTTATTTTTTAAAAATATAAATCAGTTTAAATAAATGAAATATAATTTTTGATATTATTAAAGCAATAAATGGCATAAAATAATTAAAAATTATAAGTTAAATAGAAAATTAACAAATTTTATACTCATTTTTATTAAATAAAATTTTAATATATAAGAAGTATTAATTCCAATAAAAAGTTTAAGATATTTCTAATATGAATTTTTATAAATTTTCTTAATTTTTAATATAATGATTTTTATAGCATTTAAATATTATTTTTTAATAAATGGTTGCTAAGTTTATTTCACAATATTATTTATTTAATCCAATTTAAAATTTTAGTATTACTTTTATAGAATATAAATAATATAATTATTAAGCTGATTTAAAAAATTAAAATAGTAAAATTTATATGTATTTATAATTAAGAATATAATAATATCTTTTTGAGAATGTTAAATTAATTTAATTAGTTATTAAATAGTAAAATAGGATTTTATTAAATTATTAGTTAATATAAACTAATAATATTTTTTTTAAAATAAATGAATATTAATAAAAAAAGATAATATAAACTTAAACTATAAATGAAAGCGAAACAAATTAAGTTTAATATTTTTATAAACTATATTTTTTAAAAAATAAAATAAAATCTAAACTTAATAAAAATAAATATAAATTTTCAAAAAAGGAAATATATTTTAATTAAAAATT